ACTACTTAAAATGGTTTACGAATTCCTTTGCACTAATGGAATGAGAAGTGTTCTAAATTAGTAGCAGACATTGTTGAAGGTTTTTTACCTCTACGGCTTACGGTTTCGGAGGAGTAGCGATAACAAGGGTTTACACTGAAGGGGGCACTAACTTTTAGAGGGGTCAATCTTAGGGGACAAGAATGAAATCTCTGAAATGGTTTTAAGAGTACATATTGAAGATGCAAAGATGTTTAGAATTTGGTTTAGAACAAAAGAGCTATTAAAAATGCTTAATTTTACATATTTTGAATGACCTTGACCTTTGACCTTGACCTAGATTTTAAGGTCAAAGGTCAATGAATCTTTTGCAGTTGGTCCCATGTCTATACGCCTTGTCGTTTTAGAAAAGTTCTTGATATTCGTAAACATTGCAAACATTCAGGGGCAATAATTTGTTATAAGAGCTTACGAATCCTTTCGCAATGTTTGATTGGAGAGTCTACTAAATTAGTCGTAAACATTAATTTAGGTTTGGAATCTCTGCGGTTTACGGTTTTGGAGAAGTAGCGATAACAGACATTTCTTGCGAAAGGGGCAATAACTTCGAAAGGGGTCAAAGTTCTAACATAGGGGGTCGTTTTTCAGAATAACTTTTTATATCCAGTATCATGAACTATAAAGTTTTCCGATAAGTCTTACGGTGTCAAAACATAAGGTGAGAAATAAAATAAAAAACAGAAGCATTTCAAGAGGTCTTTCCACAGAAAGGTGGAAAGACCTAATTAAGTAAGCAATGTTCGTTACTATGAAGACATATGCCAAGGCCTGTAAAATACTGATAAACGATAGAATAATTGTGCTGTACTTTATTTCTATTCAAAACCTATACGTACAAAATGAATTCAAAATCTCGGCATTTTCTTGATAGTAATTAAATCATAATGGTGACGAATTATTTGCAGCTGCTATTTTAAAAGGAAAAAAAGCTAAAATATACAATTAAGGAACTAAAAATGCACATTCAATATTAAAATGAATTTATTTATCAAATTTATACAATTAAATAGATTAAGCATTCTTTGAGATTTTAAATGCAAATTAGATAACTTGGCGCAAATACCCTGGTAATTAAATTTTAAGTTTTTTTCTGTGATTAGACTTAGCTTCTTCTCTTCATTTTTTAAACAAATGGATTGAATTTTACGGTTAAAAACACACTGATAACGCATTTAAAATTCATTGAGAGAAGACCCACAAACAAAACTAATTAATGAAAAGCGGCTTGAAAGGAGCCGAGTTATGCATTATTTGATTCGTGCGGCTATATATATTTAGGTCCATATTCAAATAAATCAAAACGTATTCAACCCAATATTTGCTCTTTTTACATTCACCTACAACATAGTCAACGCCTAGATTTTTTAAAAAGAATTGGAAAAAAAATATATTTTTAATTCTTATTATGAGCCACTATTCCTGCCGAATCGCCATCTATTTATTTTGGTCAAAAATTGGACTTATTGTTGGCTTTCTATATAATCTAAGTTCATTTGCAAGATCTATTATAATTTTTAGTAATATCTATTTCGAGAATCTTTTAAAACATTCAACGTATTCCTTTTGTGTATGCACAAAATATTTCTTTTGAAGCTGACATCTCAGATGATTTGTGTACGTCACATGAAGCGTGCAGAGGGGAAAAAATATGTTCAATAAAAGGACAAGTCGGCATTTGTACCTGCAAATCTGGGTTCATAGGGTTCGGAAACGACTGTCTAAAGGGTAAAGTCCGAGCATTGCTTTTTAAAATTCAGGGGTATAAAATATTGCAATAATACCCGATTTATAAATCTTTGAAATATTTAAGAGGATTTCATTACGTACTCGTATTTAAAAAAAAAAACATTTTTACAGAAAAAAAACATCTTTATTTCTATATATTTTTGAATAACGCAAATTTTTGTTTACCAGGAAACTTAAGTCTGAATGAATCATGCCAGCGAAATGAGCAGTGTTCTATGGTACTTGGCTCTGTTTGTGAAAACAACACATGTGCCTGTAGAGATGGCTATGTCTCATTTAACGATGACTCCGAATGTTCTCTGCGTATGTACATTTGAATCGACTAGTATATCTATTTAATAATTTTGAAAGCCTTATAAAGTTGCATGATTTTCAAATTCGCGCTTATTTTCTGTTATTTTAAAAATTATTATTAAATTGATTAAGTCAGTACTTTATATTAATTGTATTGTTTCCATTTTGTTTAAATTATTTAGATCATACATTGTTATGGTTTTTTTTCAGAAAAAAAGGTGAAGCTTGATTGCATATATGTTTAGAATATTCAAAAGAATTTGAGAAAATTAAGAATCCAAATCTATTGACCATGTTTGGGGTCTATGATGTTTTTTTTTCTCGAACAGACCGTTTCACGCTAACTGTGGCACTGCTCTTTTGCAGAACAAATGATACAGTTTGGTGAAATATGACGTAAAAGTAATTGTTAAAGATACGTCTTTTAATTATCTGTCAATAAAAACTTCGCCAAACGTTATAAGTTTGCACTGCAAAAGTGTAGTACCGCACTAACCGTGAAAGGGCTAATTAATGATTTTCACAAAAAGTATACTTGCTTACAGCGCTGCCAGGTAGCAATTCTCAAGCAAATGTCCAAGACCAAACAGGTATCAAAATTCACGATTTTGTATTACTTTCCATTTGGTATTTAAGTTTAACCTGTAAAAATACATACATTCTAGGCTCCAGTTTAAATATTTTTTCATTGAAAATAATCGAATAGTCGAACAGGTTAAAAGATATGGTAAGGGAGTTTAAGTAAACTTAAACTTAATCATAGTAATGCTTGATTAAAGATGTATTTAATTTGAACATATTTTTTATGCAATAAATACATAAATGGGTTGGGCAGCAGGGATAGCCTATATAACCCCTCTCCACATAAAAGGTACTTGGACACAGATTTGAAGTTAATATTTTCTCATTTTTTTCTGTATAATATCACGATTCATATATTTTAATAGCATTTCACACAAAAATTAAAAATCTTATTTCATTTACAGTTATAAAACTTCAAATTTTTTGGCGGGTTTGATTTACACATCCTTGCACTTTAACAAATTTAACTTTATTCTTAATCCTTAGGAAAAGTGGCAATTTTGATGTGTTCTAATGAGAAATATTAAAACTTTTATCAAGAAAAATAATTTTATTCGGAGTAGAACTGTTAGAAAGCAAAACATCTTCACAAGTATCGTCATTCCGTATTAAGAGATGCGTACAGAGTTCAGCAAATCGAGCACACTCGTGTTATGTACACAGTTTTTGTAAACAGGGCTCGAGTTCTGTTATTGTTTATATTTAGAATTCACCGGGTGCGTTCAATCGTAACAGTATGTTTACCACAACTGCACGGACTGGCAATCTATTATGTGTTTGTTTTGCTTTCGAACGTGTCTACTCTGAATTTTCTGGATTATAGTATTAATATTTTTCATTTATACAAAACAAGATTGCCACTTTTCCTAAGGATTAAGAATAAAATTAAATTCGTGAGAGTGCAAGGATATGTCAATCAAACCCGCCGAAAAATTTGAAATTGCAATATCTTTTAAAATTTTTAATTAATTTTTGTGTGAAATGCTATTAAAATATATAAGTCGTAATATTATAGAGAAAATAATAACTTCAAATCTGTGTCCAAGTACCTTTAATTAAAGATGAACATTTCACGAAATAATTGAATTAAATAAATAAAATTTCTTGTAAATAGAGCTATTATCCTTGCAGAAGATAGAGTGGTCGGGTTGATGGTTGGAGCTGTTTTTGGAGGCCTTATCTTGGGGATTGTCCTTACTGTCCTCGGAGTCATCTGCTACAAAAATATACGAAATGGGAAACCTAAAAATGCCAAAAAGTATAAAGCCTGGCAGTGTTTTGGTTTTTCGTTTTTTAATTTAATATACAGATAAGTTTGTGTATTGGTTTTTTCCTGAAAGGTTTTACTGATGTTCGAAATCAAATTACAATTTTCATTTCTTTAATTAGGGATGACCAGACGGCTGTAGTTTTTAACAACACTTCTTATGAAACTGAAAGAGGAGCAGATCAGAATCGTTTTGCCGAGCAACGAACAAATGAGGTGAGAAATATACAGAATATTGAATAAATTAAATTTTACATCATTTTAAAGATACTAGTATTCGCTGAAGCCTAGATGGGCCCACCTTTTCAAACATAATTATTTTGTTAAACTCATCCTTAGATTGCAATTTTCTTAGTTCATTTACTTAATTTTAATTTTTTTTTTGGAAATTCAATAACATGTAATTTCTAAATTTAATGCACTTTTGATTACAATCGCATCGCCTTTAAACTGCTATAGTTGCATTTCCTAGAACAAACAAAGAAAGGTCTTTTTAGAGACTTGAATTTTCGTTTTTGGTAGTTTCGGGTTGTACTTTAACTGTTTTGATATATAAGAATTAATTTTTGATTCTTTTCAAAATAAATAAAGAAAAAAGGCTTTAACAAGATTATATGCAGACAATCCAGCCAGTTTTGCCTGGTTCCGTCGTTAAACGTAGTTTTACTCAATGGCATCAGAACATATTACACCAAATAAAGCAAGCATATTTCATTAAACATTTTTGCTTTCCAGAAACAGATTGTAAATGTGCCACCGTTTGCTCATTCCGTTGATTTACCAGGAACAAAAAACGCGCGCACCCATCATGGAAATAAAAGTTCGATGATGAAAAGTTATGACGTAAATGATGACGTATACAACCATCTGCATGAAAAGGAAGAGGATTCCGAAAATGATGAAACTTACGACCACGCCCATGGAAACATAAACAGTGCCATGGATGATAGTGATTACAGCAATCTCAACACAGGGATAAGATATAAGGAACCTGATGTTTCTGCTGCTGAAGTTAACGATTATGATGACAGAGAGCCGCCTGGTGATTACTGTGCACTATAAAAGCAGTAAAGATGTACATGAATATTCATGTGCAAAATTACTTCTGTGCCTAGTCCGAGTCACACATTTTATTTCTGAAACTGTTTGTTGCCTTACATTAACTTTAGAGACTTTACGCAGGCATAACACAAATAGTGAAAGAGATGTACAATTAAATGTTAAATGTACAATTCCAATCATAATAATGATTGATTTTATAATAATTTTTTATAGCGTTTTTTCTCGCATAATTGCTACTCAATGTGCTTTACAATACATTATTACCCCAGCAGACCATAACAATCCAGAATCTTTCTCAGTGAAAGCTGCCTTTAAGGCGCTAGAACGCTAACATTCTGACAATATCTTTCACTGTCTATAGCCAGGTACCCCTTATTACACTTGGATGGAGTGAGGAAATTCGTGAAAAGTGCCTTTTCCAAGGACAAAACCTCGAATTGCCTTGGTCCGGATTCGAACTCACAACCTTTTGTTTGGAGTTCGGCACCTTAACCACTAGACTACCGACGCTATCGCTTGGATAACATAGGAAAAACAATTTTCAATGATTTTTCTTTCTTAAGTTTGTGCGCTCTTAAGGCACAGATTCATTTGACTACATTTTTGGTATGATCTTTCGAGTCGGGGATCTTCATTTCTTCTCCTTTTATAATGCTGAACAGATTTTTTTTGCCTTGAAATATTAGGTTATTTACGTTGATAATTACATATAAGTCATGCCTTTTCAATCAATTCTTCAGGATCAACTCTGCAAGGTGTTGGTAATACCGTGCAGCCCAGAAAAAAAAACACGAACATTCGAACGCTATTTGCTTTTCTCTTTAACATTTTAATAAAATATTTTTGTTTTACCTGTATTGCCAATAATTGCTATTCACACACTTTCTGTCACGTTTCATCAGCTTTCTCATAATTCAATGAGTTTTTGCAATAACTCAATGATTTTAGTTGCGTATTAATAAAAATTATTAAAACTATAATCCAGAAAATTCAGATTGGAAATGTGAGAAAGTTAAAACACTCACCGGTATTGTCATTCCGTGCTCAGTGATGTGTGAACAGTTTAACAAATGTAACACACCTAGTTTAAACGATTAACAGAGCTCGTGTCCTGTTTAGAAGAAGAGTAAACGTTTTCCGGGTGTGTTCCTTTTGCTATGTTAAATTCTGCACACATCGCTGATGATGGAATGACAAGCGCCCTGCTTAAGGAGGAATGCCATTGCATACACTGGTTTTTCATTAATCTTTAAAACACCCCCATTGAGTAATGGTTTCAGCAATGAAAGCCCAATGTTATCTCTTTTGCACATTTTCAGAAAAAATGCAAAAAATATTATATTTGCAAATTAGGGGCTTACGGTTTAATATTTGCTGTAAATAGATACGTGATATTAATGGTTTTAAGAAAATGGTGTGACGAAAGACTGGATAGACATTTTCACTTTCTAATAAAAAAAATAATGAAAATTAAACATTATTATTGAATTTTTATTAAACCTATTGTCAAAATCTTTAAACTAGTCATAAGGAGAGAAAACATCTTAGTCATATTAAAAAAAATTGCTTTTTTTTGAGAAAATAACTTATAAAATTTTGCCAATTCACATCGCAATTAAACATATCCCAACACGAATTTAAAAAAAAATGAAAATAAATAACATAATTAAAAGAATAATGGTTTGATTATGTATACTTCAGGTTAAAAATTAACTAAACTTGACAATAATATAGATTTTTATGTTGTTAATACATAACGAAAGCAATACATTATTATTTATTTAATTCATTTTTTATAATGGGGATCAATTTAATTTTGATCCGGTTTGGTCCAAATCCTAGGAAATATTCTCAAAAATTTTGCAATTTTATTTATCTTTTTCTTATGATTAATTGGCACGTTCTCCACATTTATGCATAAATTTATGAAGATTTAAACATTAGATTAAAATGAATATACATAGATAATGTGTTTTATTTTCATAAATGATTTTTATATGAAAAAGATTAAAATGCCTATCCAGCTTTTCATTACATATTTTATTAAATATTCATATAGTGGATCTATTTACAGGAACTGTTAAATCGTAAAGGTTCTTTGTTATAAATTAAACATTTTTCAAATTTTCTCTGAAAAATGCCAAAAAAAAAAAAATCATTTGAAAAATGGACCATTACAGGAGTGTCTCTCCTCCACTATAGCCATAGTATTTTTAACTACTGTTCCAATGATTATGATAATAATATAAATAATAATTATCTTGACATTCGAGTTTTCTTTCAAATGTTCGTGCACCTTACATACCATATTCAAAAGATTTGATTTTTTTTTTGGTGCCGGGGAAACGTCGATTTTTTACCATCAGGACATTTTTTCACTAGATCTGTTGTAAAAGAATTTTTCTCAATTTATTTAAGAGAAATTGCTAAAAAAAATTATTGAACCCGTATAATCAATGCAATAAAAAGAAACCAATTCTCAAAGAGAAAAGACTGTTTATTTCTTTTTCTCTTCCTTCCTCTATTGGATTTAATTCTAATCAACTAAAGCGGAGACACTTCGTGGAGGATTCCATTGTAAGTAATAATGATAATAAATAAATTTAAAAAAAACTATAACAATAATGGCGTATTGATAAATCAACAACTTAATTTTCCTAAATTTATATTTAGAGTGTAATATAAACTGTGTCCTAGCGAGTTAATAAGAATTTTCAGATTACGTTTACTACTGTACAATTAAAACATATTCATGACATCGCGTCAAAATTCTTCGTAAAATCTCGACGTTCTGCTATAAAAGGTACTGTATTCCTCGTTATATTTTTCCAGTGCATACGTTTAAGTCAGGTTCATCAATTATATATCATTTGCAATTGGTTCTAAAAATTCTAACCTTTTCAAAATGTTTTGAATGGAGCATGTGTGACAGCCGGCATTTTTGGCCAATACCGTACTTTGTTCTTATCAAAATCAATTGGAAGGGTGGTTAATAATTATTTGTAAACATATTGTATGTTGTTCAAGTATTACTCATATCAAGACAAGATATGTTTGGGTCTTTGGAATCTCTTATAATAAGTGATTAAAAAGACGCATTAGTACATGTAAATGCGGTTATAAATATTTACGCTATTTTTTTTTTTTTACTTTTAATCAATAAATTGTATCAATGCTAAAAATAATTATACAAATTTCCAAATTGCATGTGTATCAAATTTAATTGCGGAGTAGTGTATTACAAACGATTTTAAGGTCATATAAGAGGAGGAGCAACAAAATCGATAGAATTAATAATAATCAGTCAGCAGAGGTTAAAAATATTTTTTTAATTTCTTGTTTTTCATTCATGTATTTTAAACATACTATTCTGCTCTTATATTTTTCATCATTGTAATATAAATTTTTTTTTATCTTTAAGATTTCAAAAAGGATGGGACGCATCAAAATAATTGTGTTAATTGTGGCGATCCAACTTGTTTCTGGACACAAGCCGTTTTTAGAATATTTGAAAACACAGGCGAGCAATATGGAGAAAGGATTAGACTCGGTCATCAAAGGAGGTGAATATGGTCATACTGGTCAGGGTAAGTTTTCGAAGTATTGAATTTTATGGGATTTTTATTGACAAAAAGGAATAATAAACAACCGAAATAATATACAATTGCATTACATAATATTACAGCGTATATACAATATCATATTCGTCACATATCAATTATATTTGCCCTTCACACTTGCAAACAATTTTTCCTCCATTTAAAATCGTCAAGACACGTGTTTTTATACGAATTATTATCTCATTGAATGTGCGCTGTTTAAGATTTGTCCTCTCGCAAAAAGGGCGAAAATGGTGAAATAGAAGGGAGCGCTAGAACCTTTTTCGCTATATACTTTATACCGTATATCAGGATTTTTCCGCGTGTATGCAATTTCCGCTTTGTTCGCGACGAGTTCTGAAGTTCTGAATCGCGGAAAATAAACCAGTGTAAATTTAATACAAAATTATCTTGTAGTAGAATTATTTCTTAATGCTTATATCGTAGAGGGTAGAAATAGCGGGATCAGAGGACATGCGCAAGATACCGGTAATAGGTATAAGCTCTAATTGTTTGTTTACTAAATGACAAACCAGCTAATTATATGGGTCACGTTTCTTGTGAGAAGCTATTAAAACTAATTATACCTGAGCTGCTAGTCAGTTTGGAAATTAAATGAACTATGGACGTGTAAATCTTAAAAAAATAATATCTGTGGATTTCATAGTTTTTACGCAACACAGATGTGTAATCAGCTGAGCGGGTCTTCAGATATTGACGAGTTGAAGGTCGATCGATCTATTTCTCACCCGTATGAAGTAACAGAAGTTTAATAACTTTACATTTTACATCCAATTTCTTCATTGGCTTAATATAATCACTGCTACTTTGAAATAGTGAATATTTGATTCTCGTAAATTTAATATACTCATTTTGGTTCTGATTCGCGGAAAAAAAACATGACGCGGAAAAAAACCTGATAGGGGACGCATTCCTATACGGTATTGTTAATAAACATGGAATGAACATTACACCATCATAACAAAAAGTAAATAATTTATTTTTAATGTTCCAGGCAGTGTTGCATTTTCGGCTTACCAGTCAACATCCAAAAATTACAAGTAACACGAGACATGGATCTACATGTATGACACAGTTCTTGTAAACGATGCTAATGCATACAACAAAGCAACAGGAACCTTTACAGCGCCTTCTGGTGGCATATATGTGTTTACCTGGGCAACATTGACTGAGCCGGGTAAAGCAGCACATCCTTACCTGAGAGTTAATGGTAATTATAAAGGATGGACTGCATTTAACAATAAGCACACATCACAGCAAGTCTGGAGTAGCGGTTCGAACACGATAGTTGTCCGTCTGAAGAAAGGAGACAAGGTTAACGTGGCTTCCGGGTACCTCGCTGCTTATACAAGAGAAAAACTTTCTTCATTTTCTGGATGGAAGATTTATTGAACTTTCTCTCCAAAGAGAATTAATGTGTGTCTGATATAAGAGTTTTCCCTTAATATTTTATTCAATCAGTGTTAAATATGTATAAAGTACAAAATAAAATACATTCTTGAATAGTCGGGTGATTTATTTTATTTATATTTGGCCAAGTAGGTCTCACTTATCTTTTTCCAGTACCTATACCAGTAAAGAACCAACTTTGGTCCTCGGGCCTTCAGTCCTTTGGGTGAAATTAGGGTCTCAAGCTGTGCATGGTGCAATATGGAAAGATAGCCAATGCAATGATATTGTATACATGTATCATGAAGACAAATGCTGAGGACATTTTATTTTAGGTATAAGGTCCTTATTAACTCACTGAATTGTCTACGGATTTTCCTCCAACTAGTTTTCCTGATCATGTCTACGGCGATGTGCCATGGTCGGCAGGGGATGCTCACCAGTACTCCTCCACACCTGATCCACATCTGAGGTCGTATAAATTTGCTCTGCTTCTGATTTTTTATTGTATCAATGGAATTTGAGCTTGAATACTGGTCATCATCTTGTCACCTGCGTGGTGCAGTGGTTAGAGCGTCTGCTCTAGAGTCGCGAAGTAAGGAGTCAATCCTTACGTCGCGGGTTCGAATCCCACTGCGGGACGTGGAGACCGGTCTTTCGGATGAGACCGTATAAACCAAGGCCCCGTGTCGCAGTAGGTGCTGGAACGAAAAAGATCCCTCACTGCTCAAAGGCCCTGAGTGCCGAGCATAGGACAAAATTTGTAGCCCTCCACCGGCAAGTGGTGGCGTCTCCATATGAGGGAAAAATTCTCAAGAGGGACGTTAAACAATATACAATCAATCAATCAACTGATCATCATATTCATATATTTAATGTTTGTATTTTTCTCTATATATTTGGTATATCATGTATACGACCAGGAAAACATGAAAAAATAGGTCTGTTGAGACACAGAGCCGATATTTAAGAAATAAGGTATCATTCTAAAACATCTATCGGGATATAAATACGGGTTGGTCACGAGATTGAATTCCATAAAGCCCGAAGGGCTTTATGATGAATTTAATCTCGTACCAACCCGTATTTATAGCCCGACAGATGTTTAAAATGATACTTTATTACTTATGTTTACATGTGTAACTTTTTCATACCTTATATTTGCCTGATTTTGAATTTTATCATGTGAGAATGCATTTTTTTTTCAAACTCAACGGCAAGTATGTAATCAACTGAATGTACGTCGACCCTTTATGGCGTCACTGAGAAATTACGTCAAAGGATTATCCATACGCACATCTATGACCTATTGACCCGTACCTGTATTTAAACAGTTATAGATACTCATTCCTTTCAATAGTGTTATATAAAGGAAAACATTTGCAAATGTAAATATATAAATATAAAGGTTATCTGTTGAAAATTTTATATTGGAATATAAGAAAGGGATTTTTTTCTGAGAATGATAAATTTGAAATCTTTGGAAAGTGAGTGAGAATTTTATTTTTTTAGACAAAATTTTTCACTCAATCCGTTTCTAAAATAACAATAAATAGTACTAGTTCAGTCTGAGTCCGCAAATCTATTTTGATTTTGTATTATAATCTTTAAAAATCTTTACAAGACATAGCTGTCGTCAAAATGTAAGGTGGTCGTCGGAATGCACACACGGAATTGACATCATATTTCTTTGGGTATAATTAAAATCCCTGTTAACTAAAAATAAAAGAAACCAAAGTATGTGAGACGTCTGTTTGATACATTTTACAAGAAAAAGTCGTAACTTAATAACTTACTTCATGATTAACCGGATGACTCTATTTTTATCGTCAACGAGGTTTATGTCTTTCAATACATTCAAGAGCTCCTCTATGTAGGAGCAATATTTAATAGTAGCAGACACTATTTTCTAAAGGAAAATTAGAAGAGAAATGAGTCATTTTGAAGCTTTTATACCTTAAACTTAAAAATGTACCAAATTAATGACGTTGTTTTTCCAGAAAGGTCCTACTTCATGCCATATTCTTTAATGATTAATCATATTCATCTACTAAACTATAATTAAAGCCAATTTCATAACTTTTTAAGAACATTAAATTTCTAGGGTACAATAAAGCTCAAACGGTAACTTCTTTTTAAACATCTATACGGCTTTTCTTTGCATATTTTAATTGGTATTCATGTGATGCATTCAACTACAGCAAATGTTTTACAAGAAAGCATATTGTTTGTATGGAAAGCCGTAGAGTTTGGATGTAAATATTTTTTTTCATTTCTTTGAAAAATACAAAAAAAAAAAAAAAATCCTATTAAATAACTAAAAGCTAATCTCAGTCCTTAAATGCTGAAACCATTGTTTAAAAGGGTTGTCTGAGATTTAGGAAACAAAAAGTTGGTGTGACATTCCTCCTTAAGTTAATAAAAGAAGAATATCAAGTCGTCGCTTCGCAAATTTTATTGTTTATTCAATGACTTTGCCTGCAAGTCAGTCTACTATTAATTAAAATGCTGAATGACGTCGAATCAGCATTAATATTTTGTTCACAATTTACCTTAACTGGTATTAATTGCATGAGATATACACATATTCATATTCGTTTTTACACTATTCTTATGTAAGCGGAAATCTGACTCGTTCACTCAGTAGCCATCAAATTGGGCGATCAAGCTTTTTTAAGTACACTTACGAGGGCCGTTTAAAAATTGCGCGGACTTATTGCACAGAAAAAAAATAATTTGGCAAAGTGTCACACATAATATTAAAGAATCTTTACTTTTGAGGTCTTCAAAATTTCATATCAAAATGTTGTACACTGATATTAATTTTAAATGATTTATTATGACATATCAATAAGTCACGGAGCAGAAAAATCTTCGACCTTACGGATTTTATAAAAAAAAAAACATTAGCTTTCATTATCTCAACATTTTCTCAAGAATTCTTGTATAGACAATTTAACTTACCTTATCTACTCAGATACCCCATTTCCTGTCAAGTGTAAAACCAATAACCAAAACAAACATAAAAAGTATTTCTTTTTTTTTTGTTTTAAAACCAAAAACTGCAGATACTTATCAGATATAGTGTGGCATTGGTGACTCTCAATCACGTTCTTTACAGTCCCGATATAGTTTTCGTCGATCGATTATCTTCTTGTGGTCCTCACATGTAGCCTTTTTACAGAGGTACATGTATAACGGTTTAAATTCAAATATGCTATTAGTAGATAAATGTCACGAATATCCAAGTTTACCACATATTTAATTATGCATATCTTGGATCTATGTTAGCGATCTCCTGGGCATTACACAT